CTTTTGTTGGTGCTGTCGTTCCGCTGATCTCACACGTTCACTCACGTTTGTTGACAGTGGAGCGGACGGGCGCCGACATCTCAGGAAGCCACCATGTTTTTGTTACTTTCTGGCTTTTTTCCCTATTAGTTAAGATGTAATAGATAATCTGCCAGAGTTACTGCTGAACTCTTTTAACACTGTATACTGTAATCAGTCTCTCTTAACAGAACTAACTGTTTGCTTCTTTGCTGAGCTGAACAACCACTCATCTTGTGTGGTCTGATGCTTCATCTGCCTTGATCGGGTGCCCACTGCTCGCCCACCCTCTGGACCAGTTTGACCACCAAAGAGCTTCCTGCTGTACAACACTGTGCAAAACCACACCTGCATGCCACTGACCCTCCTAATGATACTGCTGCATGAACATACTCAAACCATTTAATCATAGTCAATGCTTCCCCTTTTCTGTATTTCAATCTTCCTGTAGCTGGCTTTTCCTTCCCTGATTTTTTCTCTCAGTTCCCTCTGCACAGCCCTCAGCTCCTCCTTGTCTCCTAGTCTAAAGGCCCTCTTTTTCTCCTTCAGGAGAGCCCTTATATCAGGGTTGATCCAAGGTCTGTTGTTGGAGAAACATTAAACAGTCTTGGTGGGTACTGTGGTCTCCACGCAGAAGTTTATATAGTCAATTAGACAGTGTGTAAGACTGTCAATGTCCTCCCCATAAGGATCACACAGTTCTTCCCACACTGTTGTGTCAAAGCCTCTTCAGTCTCCTCAGACCGTTTCTTCACTGTGCGGTTGAGTGTACACAGACAGAAGATGAACCAGGATGTGATCTGGCCTTCCAAGGGGAGGGAGGGGTGATGAGTTATATGCCTCCTTGGTGTTGGCATAAAAAAGATCCAGTATTTTACTGTCTCTGGTCTGACAGGTTACATACTGAGTGATGTTTGTCAGAGTAGAGAATGGAGAAACTTGGTTACAGTCCCCAGAGATCAGAATGAGGGCCTTTGAGTGCTGTGTCTTGAGCCTGCTCACAGCTGCGTGCAGGACGTCACAGCAAGGACCAGTGTAAACTCTATAAGTTTAGTGTCCATAGTGCAAAAACCCTTGGCAAACAATCAAAAAGTATAAATACTTAAAAAAGAAAAGGAGAAAAATACAGAAAGTAAAAACAAACAAACAAAAAAAGTTCAAAGTAAGCCGGACCTGCTGCAGCAGGCTCCCACCCTTGCTGTGCTATCTTGGATTCATTTGGTTAAATGAGAACAAACTTCTGTCCATTAGTGTTATTCAGTTCTTAAGGTAAATATTTGACCTGAACGTTCAGAACAACTGAGTTGCTAAAAAGCTGTCAGATGTTTGCAGACGTCCACTTATAATTTAGAATGTTAGTATCTAAGAAGTAGCTTTAAGCATTCACACAGATATTTTCTAAATTTGAATGTTAATTTTTTCATTGGATTTTTCATTGGAAGCCTAAATCCCTATGTTAATTTTGGCCAAAGTCAGAAGTTTCATTTTTTTACTTTTTCCTGCCACTTGGTTTATACTTAATTTTATGATATAGAAATATGCTAAACAATATTAGAACAAAAGGTGCAATAAAGAAGCTAAAGTGTATACATTGTTCATACTTTTGCATATTAAAGTATCCAGAGAATCAAAGGGACCCTCTGTTTACACCTAAATTCATCTTCTTTTCAGTACTAGGAAAGGGGGGGCATTAGGTGACAGTTTTTTTTCAGTGAAAGGCCAGTACCTGGAATGTCGAATTCGACATTCGAATATTTGTTGAATTCAAAGATAAATGGCACATTCAAATGCAAAAAGAAGTCCATTCAAAATATTTAAATCTACCTGTGCTGCAGCTCCATTGTTATTGCTGACCATAAACAAAACCTTTTATTTTGGCTTTAATTTGAAATGTATAAGGTTTTACATACTATGGGGATACTTGCAAACATTCAACAGGTTTTAAACAGCTCAGTCACTGAATGAGGGAATATGTCTATTTTACGAACCGAATACTATGGGCAAAATACACTATATAGCCAAAAGTATTCAGTCACCCATCCAAATCATTGAATTCAGGTGTTCCAATCACTTCCATGGCCACAGGTGTATAAAACCAAGCACCTAGGCATGCAGACTGCTTCTACAAACATTTGTGAAAGAATGGGTCGCTCTCAGGAGCTCCACCTGTGGAACAAGTCCAGTCATGAAATTTCCTCGCGACTAAATATTCCACAGTCAACTGTCAGTGGTATTATAACAAAGTGGAAACGACTGGGAACGACAGCAACTCAGCCACAAAGTGGTACGTCACGTAAAATGACAGAGCGGGGTCAGCGGATGCTGAGACACATAGTGCACAGAGGTCACCAACTTTCTGCAGAGTCAATCCCTACAGACCTCCAAACTTCATGTGGCCTTCAGATTAGCTCAAAAGCAGTGCGTAGAGAGCTTCATAGAATAGGTTTCCATGGCCAAGCAGCTGCATGTGAGCCTTACATCACTAAGCACAATGCAAACCGTTGAATGCAGTGGTGTAAAGCACACCGCCACTGGACACTAGAGCAGTAGAGACGTGTTCTCTGGAGTGACGAATCACGCTTCTCCGTCAGGCAATCTGATGAACGTATCTGGGTTTGGCGGTTGCCTGGAGAACAGCACTTGTCTGACTGCATTGTGCCAAGTGTAAAGTTTGGTGAAGGGGGGATTATGGTGTGGGGTTGTTTTTCAGGAGTTGGGCTCGGCCCCTGAGTTCCAATGAAAGGTACTCTTAATGCTTCAGCATACCAAGAACGTTTGGACAATTTCATGCTCTCAACTTTGTGGGAACAGTTTGGGGATGGCCCCTTCCTGTTCCTACATGACTGCGCACCAGTGCACAAAGAAAGGTCCATAAAGACATGGATGAGCGAGTTTGGTGTGGAAGAACTTGACTGGCCTGCACAGAGTCCCGACCTCAACCCGACAGAACACCTTTGGGATGAATTAGAGAGGAGACAGCAAGCCAGGCCTTCTCGTCCAACGCCAGTGTCTGACCTCACAAAAGCGCTTCTGGAGGAATGGTCAGAAATTCCCATAAACACACTCCTAAACCTTGTGGAAAGCCTTCCCAGAAGAGTTGAAGCTGGTATAGCTGCAAAGGGTGGGCCGACATCATATTAAACCCTATGGATTAAGAATGGGATGTCACTCAAGTTCATATGCGTGTGAAGGCAGACGAGCGAATATTTTGGCAATACAGTGTATGTTATTGCCGAACAACTTGCTTCAGACAGCAGACTTTTCTGACTTGCACTTTGTAGCTTAGTAGGCTAATATATTTATATTATATTTATGGCATTTGGCAGACGCTCTTATCCAGAGCGACTTACAATTTGATCATTTTTACACAGGTAGGCGAAGGTATTGTTAGGAGTCTTGCCCAAGGACTCTTATTGGTAAAGCATAGGGTGTTTGCCCAGGCGGGGATTGAACCCCAGCCTACAACGTGGAAGGCAGAGATGTTACCCACTACGCTATACCAACCACGCTAATAATTACCTATGCTGAGAATCACTGGTTTAAACTGGCTTTTGGGGTCGCTTTATATTATAATAACTTACACTGAGTGGTGGATGTAGAACACATACCATTGACTTAAAATAAAAATAATGTATTTAAAATTTAAATATATTGAAGTAATTGTCAATATTGTTGGACTTCAGAGTCCCTCAGAGCCCAGACCTGTCCAGCAGATACAGAGGAAGGTCAATGTCAAGCTGCTTTCACACAATATGCACTTTTACTGATCGTGGTATGCAATGTGCTCGCCAGTTGGGTGCAAAAGCTAGATGGCATCACTCTCTGTGGAGTGAGGAAGAGAACCTTTATATTTAGCTGTCGCTGAGCCAATTTAGATTGAACTGCAACTCTGGAAACACAAAATTTATACCTAGCCTAACGGCACTACAGACAGCCATGTTTTTAAAACAATTACAATACACATCACACACATCAGCTCCTGTACAATACACTGGGTAGCTGAAGACACAGCTGGCAAGCTACCAGTTAGCTTGCAACTTTATTTCAGAGGCTACCTCTTCTCAGCTAACTTAAATGCTAGTCATTACAAAATTAGAATGCCCACATGGGCCTTCACCTGCTTCTCTGAAGTTGGTCAGAGAAGTGTTGTACAGTCCCTTGTGCTCAGAGCCTGAAATTAGCAGTTCATCAATGCTGAAGGAAACTACAAGGCATACCCACTGCTTTCCTACTGGCTGTGCTCAGATTTGCCTGTAGAGCATCTCAAAAAAACTGAAAACATTTAAACTTTAGATGACCCGAATCCACTGAGCAAACAAGCTCAGTGCAAATAAATGAAAATAAAAAAGTCTGTGTTCCACATCTCATAGAAAATAATCTGAAAGCACAATAGTGAATTTTCCACATTGCATGACAGCAGCTTCATGCCTGCCACCTAACTACCCTAGCTCTCTCCAGTGTTGGAAAGCCACAGTGACATTCATTAGTCTTTTTATTCCCTTAATTTGGACATTTTCAATTTCTGTTCAGCCAGCTTACCATTGTAAATAATGACAGAAAAAACAACTTTGGTGACATTTTCTTTGCTACTATTCCTTAGAAGAACTGAGCAGTTGTCACACTGGGTCTTAATCAAACCTCAGGTTTATAGCTATAGATGGGTGACAAGCTAAAGGGAAAACAACACAGTTTTTTGAATGTTGTTTAGATATATGTTTAAAAAACATGGTAAAATGACACACTAAATGAAGACATTGATCCAAAAACATTTGGGACACATAAGCTAGCAAACTACATGGAACGAAAAAACAAATGTTATTGACCAGTAACAGATTTCAAGTAAACTTCTGTTCTGGATCAGGTTTTTGGTTGTGATATTGTTCCTTGCAAAATACCATGTTTTTTTTGTATTTGTTTCTCAGACCAGTTAAAAGCCTTGTCTTTATTTTTTTTTTTATTTTAATTACTGAATAACTACTTACTGTCCAGAGAAGGAGGGGTAGTGCCTAGTGGTGTAGTAGGTGTGGCTGGGAGAGTGGATGCAGGGGTGGCTGCCATGTCAATTTCTGGATGACTCTGTTTCACAAGCACAAAAACTCAAAACTAATGCAGGGTAAAATGCCTCAATTCTATCACTACACTAACTTCGATTTACACAGGAAAGGATTTGATGATTAAAAATAAAATAGTGGTACCATGCTAATAAAACCTTATTTGATCAATACACAATCTAACATTATAACATTAAGACAGATGTGTCACTTACTTGTGCAAGAACAGTAATGAAGTTTCTGTTGAGATGAACTGCTTCATACAGAGCAAGAAGGATTGCCTCATTTGTCCTAAATCAAAGACACAAACAGTAAATGAATTTTTTTCTTAAAAAAACAAACAAAAAAAAAAACCACACAACACAAAAACTCAATGGTTAACTGGCCCATGCAAACTTCTAAGGATTCCAAAACAAGGATTTGGTAACTTACTGCACTGACAGCTTTTCCTCTGCATCAGCAATGAACATACTGCCTACCTACAAACGAGATTAATATTAATAATAATACATCACTTTCCTAATAATGAATGGCTACTCTATTCACAGGACTTTGTCTATAAAAAGTTTTAAAAATGTTGAAACACAACTCTTACCATATTGGTCAGTGTGGAAAAAAAACCTCCATGGTCCTCCTCCTCTTTGTCTTTGTACTGCCTAAGGGAGGAAACAAATAAGAGTAATGGCAGAAAGGAAAAAAAATATGTAGAAGCGAAAGAGGAAAACATTCTCCTTACCTATTGTATTCTGTAAGAGCCTGGTGGACAACCATACCCATACCCTAGAAATAAAATGGGAGAGCATTACATTTCTACATTAAAAAGATTTACAACAATTGCTTAAAGAGGATTTCCATTAAAACACTTACATCTAAAGTTGACTCGTCGTCCACTATAGACAACTTCACAATGTAGGGGTTCACAGACTAAAAGTTGATAATAAAGAAAGACAAACATTGACTCAAAGGGAATAATCAGATTTGCTTAAATACACCCTGATCCGTTTTTATTAAAAAGCTTATACATTCAAAATCACATTTCTACAATTTCACAAATTATTACCTCATACTTTCTATAGTTCACTAAGAGAGCTAAAAGGACCACAGCATCATACCCATGTTGCCCTCTACTGGACACATCAGACAGAATCTACGAGAGAGAGAGAGAGAGAGAGATAGAGGGAAAAGGTAAAATGAGCTCAGGATTCAACTTAACTTCAATTGCAACATTAGGGTTATGAAACAGATAGATTATCAAAATGTGGTCTACTAGCCCATGCAGGAAAACACACATTTGTAAGACTAGGTGTAGGCATGGTACTGTGTAAAGTTGTCCCTTAAATAAATTAATTTTTTTCTTATTTAGTTGTTTATTCTTGTTGTGGGGACTGGAGGCTAGGGAACCAGCCCTGTGACCGGAAGGTCGCCGGTTCGATCCCCTAAACAGACAGTATGTGACTGAAGTCACATTTTTGCGCAAGGCACCTAACCTACAACTACTGTGGATAGGGCTGCCCACCACTCCAGGCAAGTGTGCTTACTGCCCCCTAGTGTGTGTGCATTCACTAGTGTGTATGTGGTGTTTCACTGCACGGATAGGTAAAATTACTTTGGCTTTTAGGTTACTCATTATGGGTTGTGTTGAGCCTATTTTGAATTGCTGCACAGCATTTCAAGGAAATTTACCATCTGCATCTACATACTCAAAGGTACGTTTCTTTTATTGTATTTTTGTTACACAAAGTTATAAAAAGGAGATGTGCTCAAATTTAGAGGCTAAATACCAAACACAATACAAAATGAATAATGCATGTACAACCACAGAAAATTTATAATCTCCAAAGCATAATGCAATCAGCTACAGGCAGCTCAACTGATCAAGAACATAGGGTCTTATTCACCAAATGTTCTTAAGGAATTTCTTCTTAAATCCACTTATTGAGATTACATCTTAGGTAAGAACAGAACCTAAATGCACTCAAGACTTTTTCTTAGGATGCTTCTCAAGAAAAATTTGAGAAAAAACTCAGATGCACATAATTAGGGGATGGGATAGGGTATCAACTTCCTTTAGGAGAATTAACAGTTATATTATTTGGGTATCACAACATGTTTCTGGCGTGTTTTAGCTTGTTGTGAAGCATGTCATATTGACTAATGTGATGTAACAAGTATAAACAGACATTTGGGTACATTGTATATCCATGACAGATTTTTACAGGTAATTACACTGCAGTGGCCTCTGAAAGCCTGTAACTCCCCCTCAAGAAGAACGCTCTAGTTCAGTGCTAATTCTTCTTTATCAGCTTTGGAGGACTTTTTCACATGGCATAAAACTAACACTGGTCTCACTGGCTAACTTGGTTCCATGATAATTGGCACTGATTTAACTGGAAGCATAGATACCAGAATAGGATGCTGACTGTAACTAAACCAGCCTGGATTCCGTTGAATTTTAGGTATGTTCTATCTCTGCTACCCGACTTAATCTTTTATGCTGTAAGTGTTTATTTCTCTCTAGGCTAAATAATTAATTTGGTCAATGGTCTGGTTCTGTACTTTCTTACAGGAGTTAACTGTTCACCAAGCTGTAGTTTTTGATACTGCTTATGCCAGTCCTCTGCTTAGTTACCATTGTAAACTGGGTAAATTTACTAAAGCCCTAACTCCCTGCATTACATAAACCATTAATTTAGTCGGCTTTCTTGAATAAAACGGTAAACCTCTGGCCAGTTTGCCTTTGAATAGTGATAACTTTTGGTATGGCTTGTCTAATGCTAGCAAGCCTCTGGCCCAGGCAAAAGCTACTATTACACAGAGGCATACAAAATTTAGGCAACATTGGTCAAAATTTCTGTTACTGTGGATAGCTAAACAAACAAAAGAATACTTGATTTGCAAAGGCACAAATGACATATTTCTTTAATATTTTAAGCAAGTTCACTTCTTTTTTTTGTTTTTTTTTTATTTATTTATTTTTTTTTATTTCCAACTCTTCCAGTTTCAAAATAACAAAAAAGGAAAAGGGCCCAAAGCAAAGGTTTGGGCATCCTACATGGTCAATACTTAGAAACACCCCCCTTTGGCAAATATCATACCTTGTAAACTGCAGCCAGCAGTCTTTCAGTTCTTGTTTGAGGGATTTTTGCCCATTCTTCCTTGAAATAGGCTTCTAGTTTGGTGCAGTTATTGGGCGGTCTTGATTTCTAATCATTTTTAGATTGGGGTGTGTCTAGAAGTGTTTAGAATCATTATCCTGTTGTAGAAGCCATCCTCTTTTCATCTTCAGTTAAACAGACTACATGACATCTGCTTCCAGAATTTGCTGGTAGTGAACAGAATCCATTCTTCCCTCTAGCAGTGAAATGTTGCTCTTGCCACTGGCTCCAACATAAGCCCAAAGCATAATTGATTCCCTCCCAGAAGTGTTCTTTTAATGAAATTCTGCACCTTTTTTTTCTCCAAACATATTTTTGCTCACTAGGGCCAAAAAGTTTCATTTTAACTTTATCGGTCCAGAGGACTTGTTTCCAAAATGCACCACGGTTGTTTAGATGCTCCTTTGCAAACCTCTGATGCTAAATGTTGTGGTGAGGCAGCAGGAAAGGTTTTCTTCTGATGTCTCTTATAAAGCTCATATTTGTGCAGGTGATGCTGCACAGTAAAACAGTTCTCCACCACTCCAGAGTCTGCTAAATCTTCCTGAAAGTCTTTTGCAGTGAAACAAGGGTTTTAAATTGCCTTCCTAGCAATCCTACGAGCAGTTCTCTCTGAAAGTTTTCTTGGTCTTTCAGACAACTTGACCGCCACCATTGGTGTTTACTGACATTTCTTAATTACATTATGAACTGAGGAAACGGCTATCTGAAATTTCTCTGTTTCACTTTGAAATGTATCTCTGTCCACTTTCTGTTATGCATTATTAATTGCTTCACAGCATGCCGAGCATTTGTAGGATTTCATTTTTCAGGAACAAACAGAAACTTTTAATGGTTTCTATTTTTTTTTTTTCAACAGGGGTATCAAGTATATGCCTATTTAAGTATTCATATATATATATGTTCTTTACATGTCAAATAAAATGTAACAACCACATTCAAAAATCACTATTAAACAAGAAGAGCCGATTAAACAACATAAATAGTCACCTTTTTGTTCCACTTTAAACAGTTAATATATACTGAACTACTGAATTTGCTCTGATAAGAAATTGATGCTGCATACCTCAGGTAGCTGCACTTGCTTTAGTTTCCCTTGCTAGAAAAACCACAAAGGCCAGTAGAGCTGGTCAGCAGCAAAATTAGCTTATCTCTGCTGTTGGAAAAAACTGCATACGTCAAAAAATTATGTGGTTTGAACGCTAATATGCGACCAACTAAACCAGTGCCAGATCAACTACGCAATGTCACTGTCTACTCTGGTGGGATATACAGATATGCATCCACAAGTATTCTCAAATCTTTGCAATTTGTATACCACTCTGCTTTAAGATTTATCACTGGTGACCCCTACAATACCCATCGCGATTTTTTTTTTTTTTATCTATGAAGTGCTTTCTGGCCATATGCCACTGTACATCACAAAAATGCTCAGTGTAAATAATGCAACAGATCTGACTCATTCCAGAAACTGAAATACCCTTCAGGTGCCAAGAGCTTTTACTGAACTGGGAAAATCTGCTTTCAGCTACAGTGTACCAGCAAGCTGGAATTCATTACAGGACATTCTAAAGCTTCACTCGCTAGTGTCACAAACATTTTAAAATTTTGGTCTCTAACCATCTCAGCCTGCAATTGTTTGATTAGATTTTAGTGAACTTTTAACATGACTTGTGCATTTTAATTTAGTATATTTCAGTTATTGTTTTATATTTAGGGTTCAAGCATGCAATGCATTGAACCCTATTGTAATTGTCAAGATTTTTCTTCCTATTCATTTTCTTCCCCGAAATGGAACGCACAGCCCAAACCGTAAGTCCTAGAGACACCAAACTTGGTCAATAGGTAGTAGTCCCTCCCGCTACTCAGACACAAGGAATCAGCCCAGTCGGCCACAAGGGGGCGCTATAGCGCAGTCAAGTTCCTTGGGTCCAAACAAACAACTTTGCCATTTGGACCATTTAGCTCCGCCCACTTAGATTTTGAGCTAATTTGCATAATATGCAAAACATACTTTTGCGAACTAGTCCTACAATTTTTGCCCGGTCCTCAATTTTTTGGTGTCAAAAAATTCAGAAGAGCCTGAACCTCAATAATTATCAAAAACATTTTGACTTTTCTAAACAACATGGCTGTCATATGCAAATGAACCCTTCTGGATAAATTCAAAATAATTCAGAATTAATTTAAAATTCTGTAACTCGACAACCCTTCAGCCAAAAAATTTCAAACTTTACAGACACATTTGGGAGAAGATTCTGAGGTAGCCATTCGATTTTTGTGCGCATATGTCATTAGGGGGCGGAGTTAATGCTACATGGCTGTTTCTCAGCATCCGTACATCCGATCAGGCTGAAGCTTTGCAGATACCATCTGTTGGCCAGACTATGTGAATCCATAAAGACAATTTGATTAACTGAAGTATATGGTCGATTAGCTATAACTATGATTAGCTATAACTCAACAGTCATTGGTCAGGTCCTGTCCAAACTTTAAGGACCTTTACATATTTGCACTATAATGGAGTATGCCAATTTTGGTCCAGATTGGCCATTAGGGGGCGCTTTAGCACTCAAAAACACTTAAAAATCAATTAAAATGCTATTACAATGTTATTACAAGATAGACAGATAAAGAAATTGTGCCATACGACTCAGGTCACTCACTTGAACAACTTTGTAAGTACATGTTCTGTCACAAATTGTACTGTTTGTCTGGTATTTTGGCTTAATCATTCGAAGACTATATTATATGAAGGCTTATTATACAAAGGTCAAAAGGTCAATCTGACCAAAACTTGGTAAACATCTTTGGATATGGTCCCTGATCAAGAATCATACCATATGTGGTCTTTTCACTAATCCTGACCCACTTTCACTGAGCTTATACTTTACTTTAGTCCTATGTTTCTATTTTTCATCTTTTTCAACTTTACTCATATTTTTGCCTGTAACTTTTGATCAGAGTGAGATAGAGACAAAATTCTTTTTTTCTGCTGATTCCTTGGGACTTGCTGAACAACTGCACCCCCAGTCAATTTTTGCCCCATCCCCTTAGTTTTTGAGCTAATTTGCATAATGAGAAAAACCTATTCTTGCAAACTAGTCTCAGGATTTTTTGCCAATTTTCATCAAATTAGTACCATAAGATTCAGAAGACACTGATCCTCAAGAATTATCAAAAACATTTTGACTGTTCCACTCAGTGTATTGAGCATCAACCAATTAATTACTGTAAACATGGCATTGCTGGCTTGATTTACTATAACTCAACAGTCATTGGTCAGATCATCTCCAAACTTTACGGATATGTACATATTTAGACTTGAATGGTGTGTGCCAATTTTGGTCCACAATGGCCTTTAGGGGGTGCTTTAGCACTCCAAAACACTTAAAAATCAATTAAAATGCTATTACAATGTTATTACAAGGTTGACATATAAACGATTGGTGCCGTGTGACTCAGTTCACTCACATGAACAACTTTCTAATTACATGTTATGTCAAAAATTGCACTGCTTGTCTTTTATTTTGGCTTATTCTGGTTATACTGGTTTATTATGATTTGATATTTTTTAATTTACTTACTATTATTAAGTATTTGAAATGTTTCTACAATATAATTTTTTCAATTTATCACCTGATAAAAGGATGAGTTTAGATACAAAAAGGTGTGCTTAATGAAGTGGCTGGTGAGTGTATATCATACCCATTCATATATATTGTTTTCTTGTCCTGTCTAGTTAGTGTCATGTGTATTTGTCATGTATATTTATTGTTCTCTAAATTTGTCATGTGCATTCATTGTTCTATATGCTTGTCCTGTATATTTATTGTATTGCGCACTTGTTTCACACTGTTGCGTATCTGCACTTCACATAGTCCTGTGTAACATGCTGCTGTTGTGTGTTGCCCCATGGGGCCTGAAGAATGACATTTTGTTCTAATGTATACAATTCATACTGAGGAATGGCAATACTAACCTCTCTTGACTTGACTAGACAATTCCAAAATCCAGCTCATTTTGTCACAGTCAACACTATTTAGTCAATTTACTAAACTAAAACAGAGTTAGCTAAAAATCAATGACATTTTTGACATTTGACTGTTTCACTAAGGTTTGGTAATTTACTAGGGTTTAGTCATTAGTGATTGCAGCCCAAATGTAAGACAGTTGTAAATCAACTGAACACCAAAAAGTATCTGTAATGAGTGTCATGCAAACACAAACATACCTGTAAAATGGCTTCAAATATGCTATTGATCATGACGTATTCCAATATAGTATTCTGACTGATGTTGTCTGTGACCTGCAAAGCAGAAAATAAAATGTTATTCTTTTGCAGTAACTGACAAAGGTTGAATAAAGTCAGAACTACATATACTAGCTCACAATAATGGCAGTAAAATAACTCAAAGTACAACAAACAATAATAGAAACTAAAACTAGTAGCGACTGCCTGAATCTCACAGTGACATAGTAAAAGGCAGGCACAAAACAAAGAAAGTAATATTTCCAAGGTCACATAGTTCGTGGTCGCTAATTCATGGTTCAGGTGAAAATTAATCACAGAGCAGGTACTATTTGGGTGGTGGATCATTCTCAGCCCTGCAGTAACACTGATGTGTGTTGTGCTGGTACGAGTGGATCAGACACAGCAGTGTTGTTGGAGTTTTTAAACACTGTGTCCACTCACTGTCCACTCTATTAGACACTCCTACCTTGTCAGTCCACCTTGTAGATGTAAAGTGAGAGACAATGGCTCATCTACTGCTGCACAGTTTGTGTTGGTCATCCTCTAGTCCTTCATCAGTGGTCACAGGACGCTGCCCACAGGATGCTGTTGGCTGGATATTTTTGATTGGTGGACTTTTCTCAGTCCAGCAATGACACTAAGGTGTTTTAAAACTCCAGCAGCACTGCTGTGTCTGATCCACTTAGACCAGCACAACACACCACCACCACATCAATGTTACTGCAGTACTGAGAATGATCCACCACCCAAATAGTACCTGCTCTGTGAGGGTCCATGGGGGTCTTGACAACTGAAGAACAGGGTAAAAGGGGGCTAACAAAGTATGCAGAGAAACAGATGGTCTACAGTCTGTAACTGTAGAACTACAAAGTGCACCTATATAGTAAGTGGAGCTGATAAAATGGACAATGAGTGTAGAAACAAGGTCATAATGTTATGCCTAATCGGTGTAGTTATCCCATTTCAGCTTTAGATAAACTACAGCTGCTACTAGTAGTTAGTTAGGTAAATTATTCTGTTAGAGACAAAATTGTGCTGTAGACTTTTTTGGTTTTAACCAGTGGGAGTGGATCATGGCAGTTGTTTTCACTCCAGTCCCCTGCCCCAACCCCTGTTCCATCTCATGAAGAACTTGATAATTACCTGATCAGTGGGATCAGGTATGTCGGGGCAGAGCACAGTTAAAACTGTGCAGGGCAGTGGGTCCCCAGGACTGAAATTGAAAACCACTACACTATGGTACACAGAAGGACAATGTGGCTCCCCTCCAACAGCAACGTATTACTTGACTGGAAACGCCTTTAAAATATCACACTCAAAAATATATGCCTTTATACTTTTTATTTCAACAATTCTTTGAGCTAAAATTAACTCTTGCTTAGAGAACATAGGCCAGTTGCTCCAGTGTTTCACCTAGCATAGGCCCTACAATTACTGAAGATCCAGCAATCCAACCATCTGCCCACTGGATCCCATCCCTTCCACACTGCACTAGTCAATCACCATGGACCTGCTCCCTTCATCTCTTCCATCATAAACAGCTCCTTGTCATTAGGTCTTATTCCATCAGCATTTAACACTGCCAGAGTGTTTCCCATCCAGTAGAAGCCCATGCTTGACTGCTCCGATGTCAGCAGCTCCCGACTGGTATCACCTTTCTTTCCTCTCAAAAATTCTTGAATGTGCAGTCTATGATCATTTGTCTCTCTTTCTCACTCAGAACCAGCTCCAGGACCCCAACCAGTTTGCTTTTGGCTTCAAACCAGTGCACTAAATAGAAATGGCCCTCATAGCAGTGACTGAGAAGCTCTAGGCAGCAAGATCAACCAAAGTGATCTTTTGATACTGAGGTTTCCAGTCACTTCTCGGCAAGTCTGACTGACATCTCTTCATGTATGACAGCTTACCACCTGAAGCACAACACTAGCAAGACTGAGCTGCTTTTCATCCCTGGAACTAGAGGTTCTCACTATGATCTTGTCATCAAATTTGAGAACTCCTTGGTTATTCTGTCTGAAGATGCAAGACGCCTTGGTGTGATTCCGAATGAACAGTTATCATTCTCAGCTCATACTGCAAACCTGATTTGATCATGCAGGGTTCTCTTTTACAACATCCAGAGGATTCAACCCTTTCTCTCTCTGGAGGACACCCAGGTGCTCGTTCAGTTTCTAATCATCTCAAGGCTTGACTACTGCAACTCATTCCTAGCTAGTCTTTCTATGCGGAACACCATGTCCTTGCAAAAGATCCAGAATGCAGCAGCATAGCTCATCTTCAATCTGTCCAAGTTCACTCATGTCACTCTACTGCTACATTCTCTTCACCGGCTTCCTGTAGCTGCCTGCATCAGGATTTAAAGCAATGATTAAAGCACATTTAATAGGAAATCACAAGTATAGATTTTGGGCCCTGCACCAAACAATATATTAGAAAATTCTAGCCTCAAACTGAATAACAGGGGCTCCCGAGTGGCGCAACCGTCTAAGCGTTGGCCCTATCATCAGGAGATCGCGAGTTCGATCCCTGGTGATGCTACAGCCATCCATAGCCGGGAGTCTAAGAGAGCACAATTGGCCTCGCTCTCTCTGGGAGGGTAGGATGCCCCCCCCATCACTTAACGCGATGCTAGTCAGTGCAGGCGTCTGTTAGCTGACGTAACAGATCTGGCGGTTGGCGCTTTCCTCCGATCGCGCTCAGCTGTCCAATGACGTTGCGTGAGCGGCAGTTCGAAAAGAAGCGGTGGCTGGTTTCACAGGTCTCGGAGGAAGCCTGTGTTAGCCTTCACCGTCCTAGCGCTGATAGTATCATGTGATTGGGTGAATCCTAACTAGCGGGTGGAACTGGAGACTACTAAATTGGGAAGAAAATTGGGTAAAAATTAAACTAACAGTACTTCATATTATTGTGTTTTTGCATGTTCTGCACATATTTTTTTGAGCAGCTCATTTGCATTTTGATACGTCAGCCAATATCCAGATGACTTGTTCCACATTCTGGCTTCTGGCAGAGGGAATTAAGATAACTCGAAATATGATAATGTACTGATAAAGTCATACCAAAGTTCTAGGTCCAAAATACTTATGTGGTTCAATAAATAAACAGCTTCTAACTGACTGAATTTACTGAACGTAAATTGGGTATAGTGGATTATGGAAGGGTGTGTTCTTACAGTAACCAGACACAGCAGCAGCTTCAGGCAGAGGCTCTTCAGGCTCTCTGAACCATCCCCACACAACAAACTGTCCAGGCTCTCCATTAGGTCCTACAAGCCAGATAAACAAAGACATAAAATGAGCCAATACAATCTGGATAATACACAGTGTGCTCCGAAAGAATCACCGTTTTGTAGTTTTGCAACTTTTTAAATTTTAGGTAAAAATGAATACAGAGGTTAAAGTACACCCTGAAACCTTTCATTTAAAAGCATCTCTATGTTTCTTTTGTTGTGGCAGAACATCATTATACATTCTCTTACATACATTATACATACAATGAGTGCATCATTATACATTTTTTATTTTTATTTATTTTTTTCAACAACTGTCTGTTTTCTGGAAATCCGTGTCATTATCATGTCTACATTGAATAACCAGTCTCATCGTTGCAAGCTTTATTTGTACACTTTAGGAGTGAATCTTGTGAAGTTTTAAAGAACATAAAATGTGCAAGCTAAAGACCAAAATAAAAAAGTATTAAAATGTAAGAATGTTGCAAATACAGTCTTTTTGATGCACTCTTTTGTTTCCACACTACAGAAGACAAGCCATGCTGAGGTAGGCTGTCTGTAGTATCTGAGCACTACTAATCAGTGAATGCTGAATACGCTCAAGTTAGTAACTAGAAAGAGAGCTTGCTTAAATGTTACTTTTTTTTTATTTCAGATCAGCAAAGGGTACTCAAATACATCACAGTAAATTAAATTTTGCATCCATAATGCAATACAAGATGTTGCTTCAGGTAATAAAGAGAATGAACACAATAATCCAACAACAGACAAGAGAACTTGCTCTCCCCAGATATTTTCACAGCACCTTACTGTTTGTTGAGCAACACCTTTTGGTGCTGCAGAATTTTGCACAATTTTGTATCATTAAAGTCCACTTTAGATTAAGAAAACAAAATGGAACATATTTAATTCACTTCAGCATTTCTTATTTCATTAAATCTAGCTATTTGTTACTTCAAAGTTAATTTTAATGTAGGTCAATCTGAATTGCCTTATTTGCTTGACGATCACACAGTGCATGCAGTTCCCACTGGCTTTACAGAAAGTAACAAAACTTTGGCATTTTGCAACCAGGCTTGCGTGATATTGAGTTTTCCCTGCTTGTGATTTACCATTTAAAAAATCTAGATTAACAACGTAGATAAAAAAAAAAGACACAGGAAGAATAACACCTAAAACCATGGAGGAACGCAGTTAAGTGTCATTAGATTTGAAAAACAGGCGCAGCTTGTTTCTGTTTCAGTTATGAATAACGTCATCTTAAACAAGCCTTTTTATTCAGATATGCTTTAATTACAATAACAATAATAACAATAACAACAACAATGCAGTTATGCTGAAGCTTTTTACTGTAATGAGGGCACACTGAGGGAGGTCAAGTTCAATTTGGACAGTCTGAAGTTGCTTCTTGTGCTGCTGTCAACTAGTGCTCTCTTTTTTATAGTGTCAATGCTAGGACGCTCGCAGAGCAGCAGCAGTTGTCACTTCTGTCTCTGGGAAACACAGCTGGTCTTGAGGTATTCTGGCTCCAGTTTAGACTCATTGCTGATATTGTGCAGAAACAGAATATACTAGGTCTATAAAAAGTTTCAAAGTGTAAAGCCAGCCTTAGATGATTCTAAAAATTCAATTCAAATTGTTACCAATTTTTGCGATGACTTGTTTGTTACAGTTTTTATGTCACATTGGTCAGATTTAGTGGATGTCCCATTTCATCAGGTTTAAATCTAAAAAACTGCCAGAGCAGAGCATGGCAATTTTTCTTCTAAATGAGTACTAGCGTTTTCCCGCCAAAAGCAGTGGCAGTGTAAGATAGGCACAATCAAATCACATCGCACAAGCCTATTTGAAACACATAAAAAATAGACATTAAGTTGCTCAATAGTACATTTATGGAGTGTATTTTTTTTTCTTTTTTTTATTATCCTTCAAATATATGCACATATGCACATAAAGAGTCTGTTGATGTTTTAAACCATCTGAAAGCAAGAAAAGTTATTTTTGCAATTAATTAAAATACATATTTTGCAAAATATTTTATTTTACATCTAAAAATATATATGAATGATATAAAGAAACTTGCAAATGATTTTTTTAATAGATTGTCCTTATATCCATGCCACTCTAGATGGGTTTAAGAGTACAATAACTCTACAGGCCAGTCACCCCAGTCAGTTTGTTATCTTTGTGTACAATTTCCTTTTAAGCTAAGCGGACAACTGCGCACACATCATACCATTGAATAATAATAACAATAACAACGATAATAATAAAATTATAATTCTCTGTACCACTATCACAATCAACTCCACTCACCTTCATTCTGAGGTCAGCTTTGTCAAATCCCACCAGCATGTTGATAATGTCAAAACCTGTAGCTGATTTGTTTTTCTGATGTACTCCTCTGAACAATGCACAGAGAGTCTTGAGGACAGGAAGAGATGATACAGGGGAAAGACATGAAATAAATATTAAGTACAAGTTTCTTTCTCACCTATTTAGTGGGAGAGCATCCTCAAATTATTCCACATGCTTATGAATTTCACTTCATTTCTTTCCATCAATAAAAGTATAAAAACATTAATCATTGTTTTTCAACCAATTTAATTAATTTGGCAAAATGTCTGCATTTTTACTACAGAGAAGCATCTCCGAAACATGCTATCGCCACCACCATGCCATTGGTATACTTGTCTCACTGTGATAGACTCTCACTCTTTTGGCCTTGAACTTCTTTATTGCCACCCTTCTGAACAATTTTACACATTTATGCATGCAAGTGATGTTGCATCAGTATCTGTAGTGTTTCTCCCATTTCTGTCCTGAAAGACTATAACTACTTCAAAATTTCTATAGGCCTCTTGGTGACCTCCCTTACTGTGGCTCTTCCTGTCCAGTCACTCAGTTTTGAAATACTATTAGTTTGGAGCCAAGCGACAGTTCTTCACTTTCTCACCTTTTTAATGAACTTCACTATGCTTGTTTGGAAATTTTCTTGTAACCTCACTCATGTTGGATCTGCCTACAAGATTTTTTGGTCTTCATGTAGCAATGCATTTCATTGCAAATGCAGAAACATAGGTACATTTACTCCCGAAATCATGACCTCAACTGCACTGTGGATCCCAATCTCTTAATCATGTGACCTGAAAAGTTGGTTACTTCAGAAGTGCTAAAGCAACAGGGGCTTGGGGGGTGGGCATATTAATCTGTTTGGAGGTTTACATTTTTAATTAAAGCGGCTTGATGCCAGATGTAGCAGGGGCGTCAACACCAGATTAAACCATTTTGTGGATTAATTTTGACTGGAGTGACCAAAATCAGAAGTGCGTGTACATCATTACAATGCTTAAAACACTAATTTGAACCATAGATCAAAATCATTACCATATGGACTTGCGCTTTATGAACTAACTCACTCATACATATTATTCATTATTATTATATTATACTCCACATTATTCATTCTCACAAGTTTGCACAGCACTGAGCTTCCACAGCGCTAAGTTTAAAACCAGAAATTACGGCGCACAAGCAGCATGCCTGAACCTGTCCCAAGCGTTGCAAAAGCATTAGTCAGTGTAAATTTGTATCTTCTTGCAATAAATGACATGCAATTGTCTTTTTTTGTCTGTCAGAAGACTACAAACATACATTTTCACTTCTAAATTGTCAAATAAAATCTTTGATATAATGAGATCTACATTTTTTGAGAGAACATTTCTTTAGAGCATTTCTAAATCCTAATCTACATTTTGACTTTTGCTGTTTGTTTTTAGCCAAGAGCAAACGCAGGATGCTACCGGCACCTTGGAAACTTTTTAAACAATGGAACACAGATTATTATTATTATTATTATTATTAAAATAATATTTACTTTAAATAATTAACTTTAAGGTATGCCCATTACTGCAGTTCTGTACTACAGAAGGTTAACGCAAGCTTCTTATATCGCCGCAGCATTATTTTATATGTATTTCTGGTGGCATGTAGCTTGCAACAAGCAACAAAAAGAAAAACAAGTCTTCACACTTCAAGCACAGTAACCATTCATCTCATATCACTGTTCACACAACCCTTGATGTAGAACGCATACCACCACTTGCTGTACCACTTGCACATGACTGCTGTAGCACATTGATTACACAGGAGTGCTTTGCAAGCAGCGATGCAGTGCAGAAGAGTTTACACGATAAACGCACTGTTAAAGGCTGCAACAACAGAATGGATAAAATTACCCCAGATGCAGCATTCAAATGACATAACGCTATGCTCCAACCAATCTCCAATCTCACCAAAGAGTCCACTGAGACCACACAAAATTTATACTAAAACATGGAAATGAACAAGAGAAAGTTTAAGAAAATAAATAAAAGTAAATCTTAGGACAAACAAAATAAAGCAGAAATACTGAAGATTCTGCACTATTCTGCACTATTTCTAGGTCAAATGTAAGCAGAATTGTGACACTAACACAGACACACAGTCTTATCTCTTCTGTTAAAGCTTGTGTTTCGACAACTGTCAGGTGGATTTGACTCAGAGGCTTTTGCACAAACTTTGAGTCCATGTCGGTCATTAAAGTAAAAGGGGGGCATAGGCAATATTAATAAATTATGAGATTCTATAAGACTCAATTTTCACTATTTTTTATGGTGATAAATAACGAAAACCTGTATTACATTAGACAGGAGGGCAAAACAAAAGCATTTTCACTAGTGGTCTCAAACTTTTGGACCCCATTGTATATTTGTTTTAGTAGGCCTATGCTGAAAATGAAATATATACATATTTCTTTGCATTGATAGCCTGACTGCAAAAAAGAATAGAACAGCTATTAAGGGAACCTGTCTTTAAACTGAAGCACATTTTGGAACTCTCACATTCTGCAGGCTACAAATTATCCACAAGGGGGCACAATTATCAGTCAAACAGCTTTTGATGCTTCACATCAGCGACCGTGTGTTCTTGTTCAGTCTTACAATGCTCAAAAATGTGCTTGCAGTTCACATTATGTAATTTTGCCATTTCCTTAAAGGAGAGGTTAGATTTCTGTTTACATAACCTAAAAAATAAACCTGTCGGCTCGTTACACATCTTAAGAAGCCTAACTAACCTGGAAACTAACCAAACTGGAAGCAGAGCAAACAAACCTGGAGCTACGCGGCACTCTTTTACAACAGAAAAGTCTCCTAAATAGAGTGTCTCATTTGACTGCATTGAGAAGTTAAAACTATGACCCTTGTCCACACATATCCTGATATGTTTGAAACCGCAGTTTCTATGCGTTTTGGTCCCCTGTTCACATGAAAAACTCCAGCAGCACTACTGTGTGACACACTAACACACTGCAGTGCTGAGAATGATCCACCACCCAAATAGTACCTACTCTGTGAGGGTCCATGGGGTCCTTACCACTGAAGAACAGGGTAAAAGGGGGCTAACAAAGTATGCAGAGAAACAAACGGACTACATTCTGTAGTTGTACAACTACAAAGTGCACCTATATAGTAAGTGGAGCTGATAAAATGGACAATGAGCATAGAAACAAGGAGGTGGTCATAATGTTATTTTTGACAAAAACATCTTCTCAGTTTCAGCCTATTTTTAGCTACATTATAATGATTCATTTTAATACCATTTTAGTCAAACAAAATTGTGCACATTTATATATAATGAATAATTTTTAAATGAATAATCAAAACTGGTTTACATTAAATATTTAACATCATACTCAATGCTTCATTTTAAAAACAGAAAAATACAAATCACGATTTTTTTTTCTTTTATACATGAAAGATCTGCACTGCTCTTAAAACTCCTTTGTGTGAAAGGCACAGAAACAACAAGACCAACATATGAACAGAACGTACATGACAAACCAAATAAGTCATGGTAGGTTAATTCTAAAAGAACTTTGCACTTCTATTCAAGTTAGTTTACCTATAATAAGCAAAGTTTTGTTCCTCTATGGTCAGTAACATCACAATCAAAACAAACAGACTGACTGAGCAGATGCATGAGTATTGTAAAAACGAGAATTTTTGCCTGTCCACACAAAAACACAGAACACAGTTTTAAAAATCTCTACACTGAAATTTTTTTTCTAAAAGCCCAGCGACATAAAATACTATTTAAGTGTGGAGTTTCGAGTTCAAAATACAGAGGAGAAAAAAGTAACTAACTGTGGCAACAGAATCATGTAAATTAGTTATACACATTAGCCATGCTGAACTTCGGCAATGGATGCATGGCATTTTCTCTCACACATAACTGCTGAGAGAAAACACACTGCCATGCCAGAAGAGCTCTGTTTTACACCAGCTGTACTGCTTGCTGCAGCAACTGCTGTAAAATAAAGCAATTCACTATATCTGCACCACAACATTCCCTGTTGAGCTTTCCAACTACTTAATTACTGCAGCGGGTGCCTGTGATTGGGTTACATATTTCATCTAAAGTGATTAATTATAATGTTAATTTTTATTTTGTAATTTATGTCAATAACTTGCAATGAAAAATCATTTAAAAATCATTTGTGAGAAGACACTGAATGTAAAACACGCAACTAACTTCTAAGACTGAACGTTGGAGACATGGAAAAATATCCCAGCAGATTTCTTTAAAAGCATGAAAGAAAGTCTTCCAAACAGAATGGAAACTAATGAAGACAATGTGAGGACACAGTTAATACAAATAAAATGTAATTATAATCAGTTACTGACAATTTGGTGCAATTTTCTGGTATATATAGAGCAGCTTCTAAGTTTATAAACCCTTTAGCATTATGCGATTTTCTACACAAAAATGTGTTCTAAATGAAGATCCAGTCATAATACCACCTCATGATAAGTCAGAAGAATAGATGGAGAACACAATAAAACAAATAATACTATCAATTACACAGTTTTTCATCCATTAATTGTACAAAGTGATCCAACATTAAATGTCTTTGTTGGTAAAAGTATGTGAACCTAACTGATGTGACCCCCTTGAGCAGCAGACAAATGGTTGCTATAGCTGTTGATCAAGTTCAGGAGGCTTTATTGTTATTTTAGCTATATACTAGTGTTGTCACGATACCAAACTTATGACTTTCGATACGATACCTGCCTAAATATCTTAATACCGATACTGAAACGATACCACAGCAAAAAACTAAAACATCAGGAAAAGTAATGGAATAATAGTTTTTTTTTTTCATTGTTTATCTTACGTTTATTTTCATGCTCAATAAAAATGCAGTTTGTGTGTTTTATGCGTGTAGGTGCGTTTTTGACAATGAATATGTACATTTTTTCTTTAATATTTTGATTATTAAAAATAATTAAATTAGAAAGATCACACTGTTATTACACTGTGTGCAGTGATCTGATGTCCTATGTATCCTTGAGTTTATAGAATTTCTTTGATAGTTAACTTTC